GCGCGCGCGGCGGCCTCCGGGCCTCCGCCTCCGCCGGCCTCCGGGGGCTCCCCGAGCCCGGCTGGGTCCGGTCTGGGGACGGCAGGCCCGGGACGGGTGAGTCTGGCTCCCGGAACAGGCTGTACACCTTGGCGGAGGCCGCTGCGGGGTGGCTGCCCCCAGGGCGCCGCAGCCGGTTCGCGTCCCGGCTCGCCGGCTCGTATCTCGCCATGCCCATGGGATCCCTTTGGGCATGACTTATGTCCAGTAAAAGAGCCAGGGTGAGGGGCAGGAAGATCCTCCCGGGGGTCCGAAGGGCGCTCCCGGAGCAGCGGGCGCTGGTCGGCGGCTTCATGGTGTCGGGGTACCTGGGGTGGGGATGGGGGGGTGGGGACGGTGATCGGGAGCCCGGATCGCTCCCAGGCTGCTCCCCCGACCGCCCCTGCTGGTGGCCGGGGTCTCCCCGGGGCGGCGGCTGCGCTCCGAGCCTCGAGTCCGTGCGCACAGCCGGGGCGCGCACAGCCGGGCCCCCTGGCCCGCTCCCCAGCCCTGCCTGCAGCCGTCCGAAGGGGAACGAACGGGACGGGTTTATTTTTGGAAACCTCCCCCTGCTTTTTCGTCGCTTTTATCCACACACCATGCCCCCTCCTCGGAGGGACAGCTCGGCCCCCTCATTACCCGAGAGGGAGCGAGGAATTCCAGCAACACCCACTTTGGCACCGGGAAGCGGGCGGCGAGGGGGATTAACCCGTGAGGAGCTGGGGGCGACGACGCAGGGCCGACCCTGGCGGTGGGGCAGGAGGGAGGGGACTGGCAGCGCCAATGACTTCTGCCAGCACAAAGACACCTGCACCATCTGTCTCCTGCCCACCTGTCCTGAATGGATCTTCCTCCCCAAACTTCAAAGACAAACTTGGATCGGATGACGTTTGTCAGCCTCCCGGGTACGAAGGAGGCCGGTGGAGGTACAGAGACCCGAACGACAGGGACAGCAGGGCCCAAGGAAGGAGCGCCTGGTCCCTTCACCTCTAGCCCTGGCCGCCGGGGGCGCCCCCGGGGCTGACCTTCCTGGCGCGCGAAGGTGGCCTGGGGGCGCGCGCCCTCTGGTGGAGACGAGCGCGCCCTGGCAATCCTGCAGTAGTGACCAGAGCTGGGGGCGGGGGCGCCTTAGCTCCTTGATCTTAATGGGTCTAAGGAGGTGGTGGTGGCTGCCAGAAGAGATACCTTCTTTCCACAAAGACAAGAGGCATAGACAGGGAGCCTCCTGGAGAAGGGTTTTCAAGGAGACAGCATGTGGCAAGGGAGAGTGAAATCCAGTCCTCCTTGCCAATGGCCCACAGTCCATTCCCTGGCCCTGGCCCACCCCCTCACTTCTGGATAATTTACCCCAAGGGAATCCCATGAGCTCATGGGATGCCTGTGTGCCTCTTGTGCTGCCTGCAAGGGAGACAGGGGTCCAAGAGCTGACTGCCTCCCACCTGAGTGCCCCCCTCTCCACTCCCCATTCATCATTCTCCTCCATGCCCCTAGCAGGAAAGCTAAAAGGCCCCGGGCGAATGTGACTGCTCTTGGGCACACTTGTGTAATGTACTGTTTCTCAAGGAGGCAGAGCCAGTGATCAGGCAGAAAGCACCAGCTTAACACCCAACACTATGCAAAGAACTGCCACAGCTAATAGCTCATATTGAAAACCTCACCTGCCCACCTAGGCTGACAAAGGCCAACATGGCTGGTTGGCTCTCAGACTGCTCAGTTCTCCAATTGCTCAGTTATTCATGACCCAGTGGCCACACTGGCTCTCTCTGCTCCTTAAATAAGTGGTATTAGTACACTTTATGTGGAGCGTTCATCTCCAAGATGTCCACCAAAATGATTCTCCCTCACATCTCCCTTCAGTTCAGACATCACCTCTTGGCATGACTCTGTGCACTGGGCAGCACTCCTGTCACTGCAACAAAATGTCTTAGGTAATCATGGGATAAGGAGGCTCTCTTGTTTGGGACTCCATTGTTTGGGGGCCTGTGGTAAGGAAAGGCTGCTTGGTGGAGGAAGGCTGCTCACCTTGTGGCAGCTGAAAAGCAAAGAGAAAGAAAGGAGCTGAGGTGCCAGTAGCCTGTCCAAGGGTGCACCTAACTTCCTTTCACTCACCCTCAAACGAGTTCCTTTCCTCTCCCAGCGCCATAGTCTGATAACCAAGCCTTCAACACAAGACCTTGGGGGCCTTCAGGATCCACACCATAATACCATCCCTGGCCTCCAACTCTAGAATAGCACCAAGTCACTCCAAGTCATTCTCACATGGTACCCTACTTTAGCTTCCTTGCTCAAATGACCAGTTAAAATACTCTTAGTATTTCTTTCTTTACTCATACAATTGGCTGTTTCAATGGTCTGTAGGTGAAGATAGAACATCAGTTGTATTTTTCTCCACTACTACTTTCAACTGTAATGTCATGAATTTCTCTCCCCTGTCCTTAATGATACCTGGCATAGATCTTGGCTTGCCTATCCCTACCAAATACAAGAACAATTCCATTTCTCTAAATATGAGTCAGAGGTTCATGCTTGTAATCCTAGCTACTCAGGAGGCTGAGATCTGAGGATCATAGTTTGAAGCCAGCCCAGGCCAAAAAGTCTGTGAGACTCATCTCCAATTAACCAGCAAAAAGCCAGAAGTGGAACTGTGGCTCAAGGGGTAGAGTGCTAGCCTTGAGAAAAAAAAAAAAAAAACAAGCTCAGGGACAGTGCTCAGCCCCTGAGTTCAAGTTCCAGGACTGGTACACACACACACACACACACACACACACACACACACACACACACACACACACACAGCAACTTACAGGCATTGACAGTCCAAACCTTATCCAATTTAATCAGTATCATATTTAGTATTCCTCTGTCTCCCCTAAGACCTGTTCCTTGGCTGCAGACCACAATGGAGTAGGGGATGTCTGGCTTGTCTTTCTGATTCTCCTTTTGTGGCTCTTCTGTGTCAAGGCTGGGCAAAAGGTACTGGAGAAAAGGGAACAATGTTTTATGTAGCAGATGCTCTTTCCTGGGCATCTTTGTATGTTCTTGGGGGACTCCACCCCTGCACTGTCAGAGCAAAGCATCTTCTGGCCAGCCTCCTTAACACCCTGCATCTTCCGCTTCCAGATGTTCTACGCAAAGCAATGGTGAGGTGGCCACTCACCCTGCTGTTGAGACCACCTCAGTCAGGCTCCATAGTCATCGTTCTCCAGACAGGAAGTGCACAGGAGTCTCTTTATTCATGCATACCTTCAGGTCCTAAAGATGCACATTGAGTTCTCCCAAGAATTTTCTTGCTGTGCTTTGGTACTTTAGAGTATCTGCAACCATCAGCCATGTGCCCTGCATCAGGATGGGGAGTCATGACTCTACTGCAAATGATTGGGGGCCCCTGCGGGCCCCATGACTCTATTTGTATTGAGGAGTATCCTCAGGGAAAATCTCAACTCTACCCATCAATGCCATCGTATGCCTTCTACCCCAGTGACCTTCCTCCTTGTCATTTGTAGACTGGAACCAAGAGATGTCATGTTGGAGTTAGCCCTGCTCTGCCCTAGGTCATGTATACAGCTCTTCTTTTTAGAATAGGAGAATAGTTAGCCCTATTTGCATGAGGCTTTGTTGATTCAATGGGACATTCTAAAACCACAGGAAAAGTCTTATTCAGCAACCTATAAAATAATTTATTATCTGACTTGCCCAGCCTCAAAATCTCTAAAGGAACTGACATGTTATTCACCACTCTCTCCCCAGAACCTAGAACAGGGTTTGATTCTAATAGATGACAGTCAAGAAATATGTAACAGCTGGGCACTGGTAGCTCACTCATGTAATCCAAGTTACCCAGGAGGCTGAGATCTGAGAATCACAGTTCTAAGTCAGCCCAGGAAGGAAAAGTCCATGAGACTCCAATTAACCAACAAAAAGCCAGAAGTGAAACTCTGGCTCAAGTGGTAGAGCACCAGCCTTGAGGGAAAAAGCTAAGGGACAGTGCCCAGGCCCTGAGTTCAAGACCCAGAACACCCCTCCCCCCAACACACACACACACACACACACACACACACACACACAATATGTGTCAATGGGTGGTTTGCTGTTTGTAGAGCTGGACCTAAAGATTCCTTTCAGTCCTAACTTTTATATTTTGGGATGAATGCTGTCTCAATGTTCTCGATTCCCAGAATGCTTGGCCTCAACCTTTACAGGTACAGGAGCCTTAGCTCTGCACTGATCCTTCCTTGCTTGTACATCTGCTCAGAACCACAGTTACAATCTCCCTTCTTTACCCTGCTATTTGCCCAGTGCCTTCAGGAGTTCTCCTCTTGCTCCCTCAATGCTCACCTCACATCCCCAAGAGTCTATCAAGGCCAGAAACCTTGGCGTCATCTTCGTCCCTGAGCTATTTTTTCCTCCTGTGTGTCCAAGTCATTATTACCGCTCCGTCTCCTCCGTCTGCATTTCTGGAAGTCTGCCTTCCATTCAGCCTCTCACTGCTGGCTTCAGCCAGAGCCCTCAGCAGACACTCTGCCCTCCCCACCCGGCGCCCCTCCCACTGCTCGGTGAGTACAAGTGGTCCTTGGAAATTCCCATTCTGCTCCCCTGGGGGCCCACAGCCCGGGCAATCGACTCCAAAGCCTGGCATCTGCTACACCATCCCAGCGCCATCCTCCTGTCCCGCCTCCCCAGTACTGGCCAGGCTGCCTCCTTCTTCCTGTGACTGTTGAACTTCATGTTGCTACGCTTCACAATCTCCTGTCTCATAAACACTTGAGTCTTTGGTGTTTTGCTTTTTGGCTGCCAAAGTTTGTGAAGTCTCGTAATGCTCAGAGCACTGGGCTAAGCATGCTATATAAACAGATCGTCTCCCCCACCAAAGGCCTTCTATACAAAAAATAATGGAGGCTGGGGATGGCTTCTGGCTTGTCCAAGATCACACAACTGGCTGATCAGTAGCAGATGCATGATCCAAACCTGCGTTGTTTCCTCTACCTTTTCAGCCCAGTAGGAGAGGGGAAAGGCCTCAGTGTTCCCAGAATGGCCCCTGACTCAACTTGTGTCATTCCCCACCCCTGATGAGGCTGGAGAATGCTGCTGAACCTCATCACCCATCTCTGGGGCCTGTGGAGGGAAGTCATGTCTGGAGAGCCTTGTAGAGAGATGTAAAGAGCGCTTGGGGGTCCATAAAGACTGGACAGGGCCAGGTTTGCTCAGATGCTGCATCATGCCGAGGGTGGAAGTCTGCTGGACATGCAGGACATCCTAATTGCTTTCCCATGTCTTGTGGAATCATGCTGGCAGCCAGAGAGCTACCAGAACCTGAACTAATTTGGTAAATAAGGACCAAAAACAAGGACCGCATTTCTGTTCCCTTTGCTGAGACCCAGACTCCCAACAGAATTCCAAGGATTTTTTCTTCTTTGGAAGTGAGTGGACCTCCAGCTCTGAATTCCTCTCCCCAGGAGAGCTAGTTACCCTTGCTCAAAACAAATAACATATTTCCTGGTTAATCAAGGGTCAGAAGTGCTGGAGAAAGGGTAAGGAGGCCTCCAGATGGGCGCAGTCCACAGGCTCAGTGTCCTTTTCCTACCCACATGGCTCAGCCTCAGCCCCCAGTTTGAATGGTACAGGCCACACAGAGAGTGGAGTCTCTCCTGTACAAGGACTGCAAAGTTCACAGAGGCTTTCAGGACCATCTGCCTCAGACACTACAGCCTGACATCCCTTAGACCTCTCATTGACCCTGCCTGACCTGCCAATGCCTGCCCCCTCTAGTGAGCACCACATGCTGGCTGGCTGGCTGGCTGGTCCATGCAGGGGTCAGGGGAACTGACCTTTTACTATAGAATGTTCTAGAAGGGGTCCTGTCACAGTCCTGGGGTAACTTGTCTTCTGTGAATGGAACTCATCTCAGATTTTCACTTGGCTTGTATTCTCATCTGAAAATGAAGATGATGATGTTGTTTCCTGCGATTCCCTCCTTCAGGGCAATCTGGACAGCTATCATAGGGAAGGGACTGAGGACTTCCTGTCCTAGTTACCCTGATCGGGTACTGCTATTCCACTTGCTAGTACTTGAAGGAAGGGGACCAGATACCTGGCTGCATGCCTCACTCTCATTGTCTTATGGTATTCTCACAACTATCTTATGAAGGAAGTACTATTTCATCATGCAGTAGGTGAGAAAAGGAAGGCTTAGGGAGGCCAAATGACTTACAGTACTAGTAAGGAGCTACACAGGGATTCACTCCTGCTTTGTGTTGTCCCAGACGTTCAGCCAACGGGAAGGCCACATTTCTCTGGGAACCAGAAGCATTCACAGCATTTGCAGTGTGGTAGGGTGAACAGGGCCCTATAGAAACAACTGTCACAAGGTAGCCCCCGCCAAGCATATCCACTTCCACTCAGGCCTGCTTTACCAGCTGGGGATGTAACTTGGGTGGGAGAAGCTACCCACCAACTAGGAGAAGGAAGGAAGTCAAGTTCACTCTTCCATCCGTTCAAATCACTTGCCCCAGCTGAATAAGCTCAGCCCAAATGTCAGCCTTTCTCTTTAGGGAAGGGAAGGGAACGGAAGGGAAAGGAAGGGACACCAATAGAGTGTCTATGCAGTGCTGTGTGGCAGGCATTTCAGTTCTCACCTCACAAACCCAGAGGGATGAAATCTCATGTTCAAGGTCACACTGCTAAGTGTCCCAGCCAGGATTGATCTAAAAAGTCTGAACTGCTCCTAAATCCCCACCCTCTTCACTGTAGCATGCTGCAGTCACTCCAAGGTGCCCTGTAATGATGCTGAATGGGGGTTCCACTCTCTCCCTTGATTTCCAGGCTCTGGTTCAAGGGTGAGCTGGTCTGCAAGCTCTGCATTTAGTTATAAGCTGAAATGTTCTTTTTCCACTTCCTTGTATAAATTTCCTGTGTCTGGCTGGAACAGAATCTTCTAGAACTCCTGGAGATAGAAGCATACCTTCTCAAGTGGCGATTCCAAAGACCTGAGCAGAATCACAAGAGCAGTGGGAGATGCCTCCTTTTCTTTCTTTGTTTTAGGTCCAAGACCAGGACTTAAACTCGGAACCTGATGCTTTCATTCAACTGCTAGTGCTCCAACTGAGCCATGTTTTCAACCCCTGACATGCCTCCTTTCATCCCTCG